CTTTTTCTTTTATGGTTAACTTGTCATCTTCCTTTGAACCTAATAATGATTTTTCTCATAATCATATTTTAGAATTTGAACGTGTTACTATATATATGATTTGAAAAAATATTATCATACCGTTTGATATAAATGAATTAACTAAATTATGAGAAATTCATTTTGAAATGAAATATTTTTATTTTTGGTATTTAAAAGAATTTATTTTCAATTCTAAATTTTGAATTCTAAGGAATTGGAACTACTTATAGCAATTTCGAGGAATTGAGATAGAATATCCAAATGAATTACACAATAATTTACTAATGGTAATAGAATTACATAATTATCCTCATTTACCAACAAATTACTTCTACATATATTATTTGACTCCAATCCATGCAATATGAGGAACGTCGACAATAATTTGATTGCAACGCTACTAGCATAGGACTTTTCTACGGTGACATGCATGTCACCATGATATGACTTTTCGGTCGACCTAATCCTAAAGGAGGTCGACCGAATTGACTAATTCAGTTATGTGAGGTTCAGAGACGCGATCGATCGTCTACATAAAATGGTCGACCTCTTTGGTGGTCTAACAGAATGAAAGGTCGACCCAAATACCTCATAGGCCGACCCTTGTGCACCTAATAGGTCGACCGCATTCGTACGAGGCCGACCGCATGCACACCGTATTTGTATTGGATAAGGATTCCAACGCCAGAAAGGTTCCACAATTGGACAAGAAAATGAATTGGGTCGACCCATTCAGGTCCTAAATCTCTATAAATACGAATATAAGTCCCATTCAACGCCACCAAAAGTATGAATTAGGTTTTTTCCGATTTAGAGCCTTTGTGAAGAAGATCATTCACGGTTGTTGTTGTACGTGTTGAAAGTGATTGACCACGTCGAAGGTGAGGTCGACCTAATGTAGCATTCATCGTCATCTTCTCTAATGCATGATTTCCACTGTCTAATTTGATATATTGTTGCGTGCAGAATACCATTCGGTCGACCTTTATCTCAACCAGGTCGACCTACCGAGACAATTGTTCGGAATTGAATTTAGGGCACAACACTTGGACTTCAGTACTTGCAAGGTAATGAAGATCAACCCAATAGGTCGACCTAATGTGTTTCAAGGTCGACCGTTTCTATTTGTTTTGGTTGTTCAACCTGAATGTCGACTTTGGCTTTGTTTGTAAGACTATGTTGTGCTTCAAAAGGTCACCCTCTCAAGCTATCTGGTCGACCTATCCGTTTTTCGGTTTAATCTTGCACTTGCTTTTGTTGGTTAATTGTTATTTTCCTGCTGGATAGGTCGACCTAGGAAGATCAGAGGTCGACCTTAAAGGTCTGGTTGTCACAATTTGTCTTCCAGGTCGACCCAATAATTTTTCAGGTCGACCACGTCTCTGTTTTTGGTCAATTATAGAAATTTGAAGTTGAATTATGATTTGAATTTTTCTTTTAATTGTTTAGGCGATGACACATGATGAGAGACTGCATCACGATTTGGGTGAACTCATGAAAGTGTTGAAAGCCACACAAGAACAGCTGGTGGTGTGTCAAAAACAAGTCAATGACTTCCAGAAGTCCATTCGTGATAGAGTGGAGCAATTGTCAGTTCGATTGACAGATATGATTGGGATGATGCATGATGGTTTTGAGAGGCTAGAAGGTGCTATCAAAGATATAAGTGCAGAACGAATGGAGAATGGAGGAAGAGATGGTACAGGAAAGAAATTTGACTTTGATAAAGCGGAGGAAGACCATGGTGACTCTGCAAATTGCTACCAGAGCATAGACGATTTATTGAAAGAGCACAATTTAAAGGTATACAAGTATATTCATATGTGATTGAAGATATTAGTATTACTATCATTAGTGCTAATTTGTTTTGTTTATATGTTTGACAGAGTGAAACAACGAATGGCAGCAAGGGTTCCTCTCCTAAGTACAAGAGACCTCGATATGAAAGTGACTCCTACACCACTCCACAGAAGGATCATTTTGTAAGAAAAGGATTATTTAGTGCTGATAGCGACCTATGATGTTTCTGAGGTCGACCTATGACGACAAAAATACGAGTTTTGGCCTTCTTCTTCGACTCATTTGTGCGACACTAACGGAGGTCGACTTATGATTCTTTTGAGGCCAACCGATGATGTTATTTAATCCAATTGTTACGGGTTTGGGTTGACCCATCTCGTTTTTAATTAACTGAGGTCGACCGTTTCCGATTATGAGGTCGACCTATGATGTTTTGCACTCCAATTTTGGCGTTCTTCGACCCATGTTTGTGCTTGATTTTCTGAGTTCGACATATGGTGTGTATTAGGTCGACCTATGAGTTTTAGAGGTCGACCTAATGCTGTTCTGTTTTATCTCTACGTGCAGTGTTTAGGTCGACCTGTTTATGGAGCTCCTCACCAACCTACTGTTAGACGAGGAGGTGTACTTGCCATACTTGATCTTTAACCACATGCTTACTGCTGCAGAGAGTTCAAACAGGAATCTTCCCTATGGGATGATCCTGACTTTGCTATTTGAGCATTTTAATGTGTGTTTAAGTGGTGAGGTTGGCTTAAGAATCTCAAGGCAAGAGTTCTATACAGTTTCGTCTCTGAAAAAGATAGACTTTGAGCTGCGTAATGGTGAGTATGTCCGAATAAACAATGCTCATGGTGTCCATGGTGGTGATGATGATGAGGATGATGATGGTGATTTTGATGAAGGAGCTGGAGACGAGCCAATGCCGCAGGCACAGAGTTCAACTCCACCGGTCACCTTAGAGCGTGTGTGGGAGCGCATGGATGGCATGTACGAGTACATGGGCCAGATGTCCACCCAGATGACTAGCATGTACGACTACATGGGGGAAATGACCACCTAGATGAGCACACTGCAAGTGACCGTGAATGAGATGCGAGATGAGTTTCGATCTTTCAGTGGAAGGTACATGCATCCCACCACATTCTACTACCATCATGCTAGCAACAACAAAATGTGGATGAGGGAGAGAGGGGATAGGAGTAGGAACTCGATGATTTTAGATTATGTGCTTTTATTGTTAAGTGTTAAAAACGACTGTTGATTGTTATTATGTTGTTTTAGTTTTTTTTTATGTGTGAACAATTATGATTTGTGTTTTATTGTATTTCTTGTTAGTTTGTTTGGTTGTTATGTTATGAAGTAATGAGTCCTTGTTATCATTATTTATGACTAGTTATGATGGTTTGAAACATAATTTTTACGAGCAAAAGAACCACACAAATCGACATACATAAGCAAAAAAGACACAGGGCGTAGGTTGACTTTCTTGTGTTCGGTCGACCTCGTACCGGATTAGGTCAACCTCGAAACCAACACTTAATCACGTCAAATGATGATTGGACAAATGGATAGAACACTTCTCTTCTATCTGGTCGACCTCAATCTGTAAATGGTCGACCATGTTGTTAATGACCGCCATCAAGTGGTCGACCTATATACCGTTACGGTCAACCATGTTGTATCAGTACACTGAGAAGTCAGAGCTAGAGTGTCGCGTTCATTGACGGAAATATTTGAAAATAACTAATGAATTGAATATAAACACACAAGAACAATTTGACATTCTACGTATGGGACCAAATGTATTTTTTAGAAGATGAATTTTCGATGAATATTGTTTCTTCCGAAAATTAATAAGCGCGTAGTAGGGAACTTCTCATTTAATTCAATTCTAAATGTATGTCAAACATGGCTTGGGAATTTAATTCACTTTATTTTTCAAGATTTGAATGTGACATACCAAACACAAGAATTCATTTGAAAATGAATTCTACACGATAATTCATTTTGAAATGAAATGAATTCTAGATTCATTTGGTACCAAACGGTCTTACAGGTTTTTTAGACAAATTAAATAGAACTTTTGAATTGATCTTTCAGGACCATTGTCATCAAAAGAATCAACTTAGCGTTGTACCAACCTCTTTTACAAGTTTTGAATAGAGATTTACAATGAGTTACGTAAAAACACTCTTATTGACAGACAAATGAAAAATTATAAATAATTATTTGATAATATATAATAAGATTGATATCAGACAGTGGCGGATCCAGAAATTTTAAATAGGGGTGTCCTCTCCTAAAAATTAAAATAATTATTAAATAAGAAAATATCTGACTTGTGCAAAAGAAAACAAAGCACACGACGTGTTTCGTACTTTGGAAAATTTGTAAAATACAATCAGTGTCCAACTATGCTCTATAAATCTCTCTCGATATATCCTACTAGACTAGGGGAGCCCTAATTGGGTTTAATCGTTAGCTTTTGAAAATAATTGGGATAAAAATAGCTTTTTACTATTATATTTGGATTTGAAATACAAGAACAAATGAGTTATATTCTAATGAAAAATATGTTTACTAATAGTAGCATCGACCCAAGTTCAAATCACATAGGCAACCACTTAAATGTTTATATTTACTCATACAAAAACTACTATTGGTGGATTATAATCATTTTTCCAAATTTTACGAGTGTCCCGCCACCACTTAAATATTATTTTTACCTATATACAAACTATTATTGGGGGTTGAATAATCGTGTTCCCAAATTTTAGAGGTGTACGGGACACCCCTATAGCCCATGCATCCGCCACTGATATCATATGAATATATCTTACAAGTTTTAATGAATATAAAATACGTTGTTGAGCTGAGCATTGTAAAATGTCTAAAATATTATCTTACGATATTTTATTCTAAATTCGGACCAACCTTATTTAAAAATTAAAGTGCTCGCTAGTGGCTACACCCGTGGCTTAGCTTCCAATATCCCAAGAACGAGTCAAGTCAGCAGAACTGGTCCCTAAGCGAGCGGCACTACGCTACGAGCCCATCAGCAACAGCATCTGCGAGCTTATCATGGTGGCGACCAAAACGATGGATCATACGACAAAAGAAAGAGACAAAGACAACAACGAAAGATCACTATAAAAAGGGCCCTTATTTCCAAGGTATTAATATCACACAGCAACACGAATTACAGATTAAAAAGGGAAGAAAAACAAAGATAATTAAGAGAGAGATAGAGTTAGAAACCATGGCCGCCATTTCATTTTCCAACTTCATCGTCGCCGCCGCGATCACCATCGCTCTGTTGCAGGGCTGGCTTGCGGCTGCTGCAGGCTATCCCGCAGTCACCTGCAACGGGCGCAAGTACGGGAATTTGGACGTGAATTACGCCGCCGCTGTGGACCAAGCTATGGCAGATATGGTGGAGAATACGGTACCCGGGGAAAGTCACCATGCTCAGTTTCCCAAGGCGGAACCGGTCGTCTTCGGGCGTTCAGGCTGTGCCCGGGACTGCCAGACCAGCCTTGATATTGCAAGGGGCTATTTGCGTCTCAATTGTGCGTACCGTGTGGTTGCCTACGTTGACATGGGGGACGGCACTTTTATGGGTTATTCCGACACAGATTACTAAACCTCACCCAACAACTCGATCGGTCACTTTTCTCTCGGGATGATAGTCTTGAGCTTCGATGCAGTAATGATTTTGTTTTACAATCCTGGCTAGCTAGGTAAGTACGCCCATGCATGTAAACGATCGATCCATCGATCGGTTTAATTACTTTTACGTTATGGCTAACGTGCGTAAAGACATATTGTTTAAGGTGTAGTTATTTATTGTCATGAACAGTGCAGTCAGAATTGTGCTTTAAAGCGTAAGAATGTACGTTTTTACGCATCTAGGTCACTACAACGAGTCAGTTTCCACCTAAAATCATTGTGTACAAAAAATCGTCAAAACTGCAGCTGCAATCGTTAAAATCGGTAAAAACGTGTGTTTTGTGGTGTTTCTGTGCGATTCCATTCCTTGACCATAAAATCAAGTTGCAATTTAACCAAAGTGATGTTGTTTTTTGTGTTAAATTTAAAAAAAAAATATACTAAAGGTGATATCGAGCTCGGCAGTCGACCAACTCCAAATCTCGAATTCGTATCCCCTGAGAAGTCGACCAATTAAATGGGATAAGCTTCTCCAAATCGCTATTATTGCAACATCATCCACCCTCTCCATTGCGAACAACCCGCGACCTCCTTCGTTTTCAGCTCCGACCACGATATGATAGTCCACTTGATGGTGATGGTGATGGCAATGGTGATGGTCAGGGGCGGATACTTGAATCTTACGTTACAGTCATATCTCACCTCCCCAGTATAGTGACCAATTACATATTTCCCCCAAATTTCATTAGTTCCAAGCTCAAGAACTTGGATTATTAAACTCGTATGTCATTATGTAAACTTACACCAGCGTGTGACTTGTGATGATTCTGAAAGTTGTTTGTGAGTTACGATATATATTTATAAACTTATTATTAAAAGGGTAATGTCTAATTTTTATCCAAATCTTTTTCAAATTCTTTTATATTATCCAAATCTTTTTTATAACGTGTGTGTTTTTGGAATTCGTCCTACAAATTTTTCTCCCATTACTCAAGTATCACCGTCTGTACCGGTACATCCCTCGTCACTATGCTGTATGCATCTTACTCCCAGTTGCAGGCTCACTTGAAGTGGAGGTCTCAACGTCTCTTTATTGCTCAGTGATAAACTGATAATACATAATTTGAGCATATTTCATATCCCATTTCTTGGATATTTTGATGTCACATTTGTCATCACTGTGCTTATAATTTATCCATATTAGGATTAGGTGTAATCATATATTTGATTTCCAGGTCATAGCATGATTTGAGGCAAAATTTGCTCAATTTGGAAGTTTGTGAGCAAGGACTAGCATCAATAAAAGCAACAGAATTTTTAATCCGAAATCAAGTCTCAGAGCCAGGTCATTCTCTTCATCAAAAGAACGGTATCACTCTCTTAATAAAGAAGTTTCAAAACAGACAATAGAGCCCGATTAAGAAGTAATGGTGGTCAAGCAGGGAGAATCCCATGGAACTTGGAAGTATAGCGGAGATGACCAAAAACATAAATGAGAGTTGCGGATACTTGAATCTTAACATTGTATCCATCTATCGCAAACTCATACATCTTAAAAAAAAATTATGGAGCAAGTCAATATTGGAAGCAAGCTTGCTTACCCACACTTGAATAAATATCCAATTTGCCTTCTTTCACATCAACTAAAACGTATCAGCACGAGGATAGACCTATCAATAATTCATTCTTCCATCACTTCTCACCATCTATGCACAACATTGTAGACGTTCCAAATAGATCGATCTTTCTGGAGGGTGGCGGGACTGTAATATCATTATCCATTCTAACTGCTTCCGTCAAGTTGTCCATGCGAAAGAAGGTGCGCCATGTATTGCTGTACCAAATAATGTTAACGTACTTAAGAACTGGTGAGCTAGCAGGGATGATGCAGAAATCACTCCTGAATTATGGAAAACTTCAAAACAACAAATGCTGTAAAACGTTTCCTCGTCGATGACCTTCAATATTCAGATAGAGCTAGCAGCTAATCTGGAATTCAGAGGCAGAAATACAGAAGGGTAAAGAGAGACAGAGTATGACTTACAGCATGATATGCATATGGTGATTTCCCCTGGCGATCGAAATGTTTAGACATTATGCAGAACTCAATTGGACCCCATTCGTCTAACTCAAAGCAATTCCCCAATGCTGCTTTATACAACTATGATATCAAAAAGTCAAAGCAACCTTAGACAGACCTATAATGTACCCAGAACTAAAACGTAAACTACCATACATATCTGTATAACACAAACCTTGGCCGTGTCTGTTAAAAGTTCAGTTCCAGCAGGATAAGCTGCATAAAACTGGTCATCCCTAGAAAAACCTGCTCTAGTTCTGCAGCACCAAAAAGGCATCCATCAATAACCTAAAACTGATATCTAGCAAGCAACACAGCACAAAATCATATCATTGTAGTAGATGTAGTTGGACGATGTAATGGGGGAACTCACGTATTGTTGGTATAAACATAGCTAACGGCAGCCGTAAATACGAAGAACCCAGTGTAAGAGACAACTCTACGAAGCTTCTGAATATTCAATATCTCTTTAATACCAGCAGAGATCATCGTTCTTTCTATCTAAGTACTCGGACCGCTGCTGAACTTAAAACCCTGTAAATAAGAAGATGACAAGAGGGCAAAATACACTGAGACATTTCATCAAACACGTTGTGCGCGCAGAACAATCTACCCAAATCCATAACATTTACCAATTGAAAAACAAAAACGATCAGAGAAACAAAATCCCTCAAGCTTATTAAACAATTCTATCAATGATTCCGCAAATGTTCCGTACCGAGCAGCCTTCTAAATGAAAACCCGACAAGCCTGACGCCGGATGCGTCTGAATCAAAGGAGCATAGCAAAGCAGCACTGCTCGGGGCGGCGAGTAGAAATCGGAATTGGTGGCCGGACGGACTGCCGGAAGGCTGACTTGGAAAGAAGCAGCACTTCACTGAGGTTAGGTTTCAGGAGACTCGCCAGAAATTCCTCGATGCATCCGATCGGGTCGGGTAACTCACTGTTTAAGATGGGGAAGGAGAAGCCAATTGGCCCTGGCGATGCCCTCATTGGGCCCGGGCCGATTTAGAAGGCCCACCTTTAATTTTAAAATGCTTACCCGTTCGTTCCATTTTTCGACCTCCTTTTCCCTCCCACGGCTGCTTTTTGCCCTTTTCTATTTTAAATCCAAAAAATGAAAAACAAAAAGACAACAGAAAAAAAAGGAAATGAAGAAAAAGCCTTCTTTCCCGAAGGTTGGTAGTGAAGTCCATTTGTCTATTCAAATTTCAAAAACTTCTTCTCTCTGATAACAGAGCCACCGAGCTACTGCCAAGCGGACTGCCGGCTGCCGCTGCGCGAAACCTCCTTCCGGATTCCCGATCATTGAATTCTTCACCAGGTAATACTCTCTGCACCTGCTATTGTTGCGTGATTCTAATTCGAAGCTTTCTTGAGGAAAAAGGTTTCCTCTTTTTTTCTGGTCTATTCGTCGGTTAGGTTCGTTGTCTTTTCGAACTATTTCACTCCCCCCTTTTTTCTACGGGATTTTGTCGTGGTTGCATTATTGTTTTGGTATCTGAAACAGTGCTATAGCTGTTGTTGTTGTTGAGGGGTTTAATAAGCGGGGAAGTCAATTTGCTGCTTTTCTATCTGGTAGAGATGAGTTCTTGGTGTTCTTTTTACCCTTTTCGGTAAGGGTTTTGCTCGCCGAAGTTTGCACGGAGCAGAAGGTGGGCGGTATTTAAAGAGTCATCTGTATTGAAATTTGACTCTGCGATTCTGGGGTCATGGGTTTGGGAAGGTTTTGGTAGAATCTCTTGGGCAGGTTCTCAGCGTCTGTTTTTGTTCTTAAGCAATTCAGTAATTTGTTATTTTCTGGCTGATGCGTATATAGCAAATCATGCAAATGTTCCCTACCGAGTTCTCGTGATGAATACTCATGTATTTGTCTTATGTGGAGGCCTTGAAGGGATTGATCTCCACATGAGGTGATGCTTGTGCTTTTTTGGGAGTGATTGGACCACAAAGTTAATCAGGAAGCATAGAATTATGTTGCGAGTGGTTGAACCATCCAATTCTATAACTAGCCGCTGAACTTGAGCTTCCGTATCCTGCCATTTTGAAAAGATTTGGCAAATGACAGTTGCTTTTATATTATATAATTCTAAGAATCACAAGTGCTAATTTTCTGGTTTTGAGAAGTGTGACTTATTCTTTGATGGAAGCCTCTTATTTCAATGTCAGCAGTCCTCTGGGAATAATCCCCTCTTTGTTGATTGCTTGGTGATAGTTAGGGGGGAAAGTTGCAACTCTTTGGAGCACCCAAAATCAAGACGGTCTGGAGAAGTTCTGATGGAGCAGTATGAATTCCTGGAGCAGATTGGGAAAGGTTCTTTCGGTTCTGCTCTTCTTGTGAGACATAAACATGAGAAGAAAAAGTATGCCTCGCTCCACTCTGTATGTAAGTTGATTATTTTCCCCCTAAGCTTGATTTTGATGAAGCTCATCTCTCATTTAGGTATGTGCTGAAAAAAATCAGACTTGCTCGTCAAAGTGACAGAGCCAGAAGGTCTGCACACCAAGAGGTCAGTCGTTTGTGGTTATTGGTTAATGTTACTCAAAGTAGTATCCAAGTGAACTGAAATCTCTTCCCTTAAGGAATTAATGGATATGGGAATCAATCTCTCTCTTTCTAGTTTCTTCTTGCCAGAACTGTGTTAATTTCTGTAGTTCAAGTATTCTGCCTTCGCATATTCGAGGGTTGCATGAGGATTTATGTTTCTTGTATAGTTCTGGTTTGGAAAGAATTGGCTTACCATGGCCTACATAGGTTTTAATAGAATTTGTTTCTGAAATGCAGATGGAGCTCATATCTAAAGTGAGAAATCCATACATTGTCGAGTACAAGGATTCGTGGGTAGAGAAGGTACATATATGTAGCATGTTATTCCATGTTACTTAACAAGTTTTTGGTCCCCATACCAATACCAGAAAGTCTCTGTCAATCTTACATGTTGTCTGTGACAGATGGACATTCTTACATTGTGGTTGCACCACTTGCCTCTATCCTTTGTATCACTCATCACAGAGTGGCATGCTGACCATATTCCATAATTTTCATTTGATTTTCATCGTTTATGCAGAGTTATTGTATTCTTGTGTAATTGATTGTTTGATGGCTTCATTTCAGGGCTGCTATGTCTGCATTGTTATTGGGTTCTGTGAAGGTGGAGACATGTAAGTTTCACCCTTAGGTTAACTTGGGATTTATTATATAAAATGACTTCTGTTATTTCTCCTCTTGATAATTTTAAATTGCTCACATAACTTTCTTGTTATTGCAGGGCGGAAGCTATAAAAAGGGCTAATGGTGTTCATTTTTCTGAAGAGGTTGGTGGTTGGGTCATCCTATTCGTTTCTTAATGAGTTATGCATTTTTTGTTTACGTCTCAAATGCATCTGAAAACTAAATTACGGTTGGTACCACCCAATATGCAGAAGCTTTGCAAGTGGCTAGTTCAACTCTTGGTGGCTCTTGACTATTTGCATGCCAACCATATACTTCATCGTGATGTCAAAGTCCGTAAACATACTTCCCTGAAGTCAGCCTTGGAACATAGTTGATAATGTTAGCTGAATTGTCATCCATTTACTGATGCTACTGAATATTTTTCCAGTGCTCAAATATATTTTTGACAAAAGACCAAGACATTCGTCTAGGTAACTGCTCTGCTATCACCGTTTCTTTCTCTGTCAATTAGGCAGTTAGCTGATTATATCACAAAAGTGTGCAATAATTAAGGGTACATACGCTGTGTTCTGAATGTGTACTTCTTGGTTACAGGTGACTTTGGTCTTGCTAAAATGTTGACTTCTGATGATCTTGCTTCTTCTGTAAGTTCTGTATCTTTCTTACTTGCAATTAGGATGATCTCGTATTAAACGGTCTCATATAGGTATTCACCCAACATGTAATTCTACATTTCTACTAATACAGATTGTGGGGACTCCTAGTTACATGTGCCCTGAGCTTCTTGCTGATATTCCTTATGGTTCAAAATCCGATATCTGGTCACTAGGTAAAGCTATTTTCTTTCTCTCGGACTTGGCGATCCATGACTCTAACTGGAATGTGATGTTCAGCTTTGGTTGTGTTTTTCTTTTCAGGTTGCTGCATGTATGAAATGTCTGCTTACAAGCCAGCATTTAAAGCATTGGTCAGTTTGCTTTTTGTCTATTTTTCTTAGAAAAATAAAACTGCTCCTTTTTTCTTCACATTTCCATTAACCAGATCTTAAAGTATTCACATCTCTCTACCATTTCTGAACAGGATATGCAAGCTTTGATCAACAAAATAAACAAGTCCATCATTGCCCCTCTTCCAACAGTATACTCTGGTGGATTGTGAGTCTACCTACTACCATTTTCATAATTTGTAACTACTTCCCATCTTCTGATCCATTGACTCTCCATCCCTACCTGTTTCCAGCCGAGGTCTTGTCAAGAGCATGCTGCGGAAAAATCCAGAACTCAGACCTAGTGTACACTACCTTGTCAATAGCTCTGAATCGGGTCACGAAAAGATCTAAGCTTGAATAGCTTCACTAATACTAATCTCTCTTTGCCAGGCTGCAGAGCTGCTAAGTCATCCTCAGCTTCAACCACATGTGCTGAACATTCATCTAAAGTTGAGCAATCCCAGAAGGAATACTCTGCCCTTCCGCTGGTCCGATTCCAGTTTCACAAAGAAAACTAGATTCGTGGAAGAAGATTCCTGTATGATTACTAACACAGAGAAAAGGCTATCATCGTACAGCAACGACAGAAGCTTGAACCCTAGCATCTCAGAAGCAGAACCAGGCTCTACTTGTTCTTCTCAGGGAGCGTTGGAATCCCCAAGGCGTCTGAATCAGGAGAAGTTCAGTATTGCCCGCGAGGACATTGGGATTGATAAACAATTCCGTACTGCTACTTCTGCTGCTGCTGCTAAAACTCCAAGATTCGTTCCCGCCAAAATTTCTACTCCAAGGAGGCTCTCAGCTACACCAGCAAAGATAACTCATACGCGTGACTCGGTAAGATACTTCTGCTTCCTTGGGTCAAATGGTTTCAACAATACATATATTCTCACAATTCATAGATTCTTAATTTACATTTTCAAATCCTATGTTCTTAAGGTTTCTCATATGTTTCTATTTTCCAAACATAACTGCAGCTTCCAGTGATGTGCTCCCAATCGAACACACCTTCCCACTCCACGCGGAGAGCTTCTCTTCCATTCCCCAACAAAACCACTGCCGTCTCAAGGGAAACTCCTTACAGGTCCCAACTCCGTGCCCTCCATGTCCTGGAATCGCCTGATGTATCAGTAAACGCTCCGCGGTTAGACAAGATTGCGGAGTTCCCGTTAGCCTCCTCCGTGGGATCTCTCGTTGTCCCGATTTGCGGAACCTCATCGACCTCAGCACAATGCTCCTCTTCCTCCGCTGTGTCAGAGAGCAACATTGCAGATTGCTCAATAACGAAGGACAAGTGCATTGTCCAGGTGGTGGCCAAAGGCGTTGTCAGTAACAATAGCCACGAAGTCAGGCTGCCAAGTGGTTCTGAATCCTCGTCAGGGCAGAATTCTGCTCCGACAAGGGTCACTACTACCACAACTGGGGTTCCAAGCGAATCATCAGGGGAAACGAGGCAGCGGAGGTTCGACACATCGTCGTACCAGCAGAGGGCGGAGGCGTTGGAAGGGTTGCTCGAGTTCAGTGCACGGCTGCTACAGCAGGAACGCTTTGGCGAGTTGGCGGTGCTGCTAAGGCCATTCGGACCTGAGAAGGTTTCGCCCAGGGAAACTGCTATTTGGTTGGCTAAGAGCTTTAAAGAGACGACGGCCGTCTAAAGGTTTATGGGCTTTTGGATCAGCATCTTTTTCTTCCGGTCTTCAATCTCGAAGGCCGTTTGAAATGTTTTCCCGGGATGTGAACGATAGTTCTAGCATTTTACATCGTTTGGCGCGGGTAATAGTAATACGAATGGCTGGGATATTTCTGGCATCTCACCTTCTACTTCTAGAATTGTTTCCAGTTCTTGTTTTCTCAATACTCGATCTGTGAGTGTGACTGGTATGAGCTCTTAAGTTGTTTACGAAGATGGTGATGGTTTAGTTAAGTACCCCCAATGTTGGTGAGATCGTTGAGGCGAGCTATTACGCTGATGTGCATGAACAGATCATCGTACTCTTTGCTTAGCATCTCACCTCCTCGGAAAGGTGACATCCCAAGAAGAACATTGGCACCAAGATGAACGGTCCAATGTAGCACTTTCGTATCATGCTGTAGTGTACACTTCCATTATATTGTCGGGATGATCTTGTCTCTTCTCCCTAAAGTAATCTTGGCACATGCTGTCCAGCAAGATCGATTTAGGTATGTAAAAGAAAAACCAACCTTTATGTGAGTTATGATGTGGTGACTAAGGGCGTGTTTAGTCATTTTGACTAAGTCTCTTCTAGTATTTAGATTTACAACCACCAATTTAATGGTTAAAAAATGGGAAGAGTTTTTTAATTAGTAACAGAGATAATCTTGGTATTATGAAAAATTACGAGCTATACAAATCGGACTTACAAACAATACAAACCATACAAACTAGAATGTCAAAACGTACAAGCACACATACAAACAATACAAAACATACGAAGTATACAAACAATACAAATTAGACTGATCAATAATACAAAATAAAAAAAAACAACCGGGTTGACTTTGCAGACTCCATCCCTATATAGAGGGGTTCCATCCCAAAGTCAAGCCGGTTGTTTTTTAGACATACAACATTACAAACATAATAGACAAAAATGACAAACTAGACCGACAAAGCATACAAAATGGAAAAACAGTGGGGTTAAATTTGGAGAATCTGTCCCTATATAGAGGAGTTTCGCCCAAAAGTCAACCCAGATGTTTTTAGCCATAGTCGTAGTTTGGAGCTCTTACGGAACCTCCATATAAGTAGAAAATATTGTACGCTTTGGGCCTCGGCCCTCACGGTTTTTGACTTGGGGTGCAATTCAAGTTGACTTCCCATAAGGTCACCCATACTTGTTGTACTCCACACTGAGCACATTTAACTATAGAGTTCTCACAAGAACTCCTCCATTTCACCCAAAAGCGCGTCTCTTCCGTTAAGGCTGGTTTCTTACTTATCAACCATGGATCTCTCCCGTGCTTTGTCGATGTGGGATTCACCTAAGCTGTTACATACCCCCCCCCCCCCCACCCCCCGGGACTAAACGCCCTCGTGAGGTTTGCCCCACAATCGTTCAAGAGGGACGCGGAGAGGCTCTGATACCACTTGTAACATCTCGAACCTTTTCCCGACGAAGATAGTGTCCGCTTTGGACCTCGACCCTCATGGTTTTTAACTTGGGTGCAATTCAAGGTGACTGTCAATAACCTATTGATCCCAATAACTCGATTTGTTGGGAGAGATTCGAACACAAGACCTCCCGGCCACAACAGGCTCTGATACCATGTCAATCACAATACGAGAAAGTAAAAAACGCAAGAATTTAACGTGGTTTCCCTGAATATCAAGACTAGTCCACGGGAGAGATAGAACTCTCCAAGAGCATGTCTTATTCTCATTAATTCTGTATAGTTCACTATAGCTACATATATGTCAATCAAAATACGAGAAAGTAAAATACGCAAGGATTTAACGTGGTTTCCCTGAATACCAGAACTAGTCCACGGGAGAGATAGAACTCTCCAAGAGCAAGTCTTATTCTCGTTAGTTCTGTATAGTTCACTATAGCTACATATATATAGGTTCGGCTACCCTAACTAGTCGAATGGCATATTACATATTGGTACATCAACTTAATATTCTAACACCCTCCCTCAAATTGATGTTGTGTGCACAACATCAATTTGGATGATAGAAACCAATGTCGACTTGATGCCACGACCTTCATTAGGATATCCTCCGTCTGATATTCAGTAGGCAGATAACCAACCTGAATCGTACCCTCTGCCACCAACTGTCTAATATAGTGAACATGTACCTCAATATGTTTGGTTCGATCATGTAGTACAGGATTAATGGCGATCTGAATAGCATTGGTGTTGTCACCATAGATTCTCATAGGTACCCGACACATAACCCCTATCTCGCCCAGTAATCGTTGTAGCCAAACCATCTTTGAACTAACTTCATGCATTGATCGATACTCTACTTCTGTAGAAGACTTCGAGACCCGATCCTGCTTGCGACAGCGCCATGAGACAAATGACCGCCCTACACGTAAACATCAACCAGAAGTGGAACGCCGAGTATCCTTGCAGCCAGCAAAGTCTGCATAAGCAAAAGCTTCAATTTTCGGCTCACCTGTCGTAGGAAAAAAACATCCCGACATTTTGTGTTTGCTTCAAGTACCTCAATAGTCTGTGAACTGCATCGAGATGAATAGTTCTTGCCACTCCCATATATTGACTTACCACCTGTACTGCATATACGATATTTGGATGAGTATGAGTAAGATAAATCAAACTTCCAACCAAACTTCTGTATTTCGCCTGATCTTCTAAAAGTTCACCACTCTCGCGATGTAGTTTCAGATTTTGCTCCATCGGGGTCGAGCAAGGTATGCCGTCTGAATACCACGCAATCTCTAGCAAATCAACCATATATTTTTTTTTAGAAACAGAAGTCCATGAATAGATCGTTGCACCAGCAAACCCAGAAAATACTTCACATTCCCCAACTCCTTCAGATTAAACGCACGATGTAGCGACCGTGTCAGTTCTTTAATCCCTTGCACATCACTTCCTGTTACCACCATGTCGTCTACATAGATAAGAAGTATCACAATGCCATCAACCCTGGTATGAATAAACAGAGAAGGGTCATTTTGACTCTGGACAAACTCTTCCTAAATTATAGTACCATGGAACTTCTCAAACCACGCCCTTGGTGCCTGTTTAAGCCCATACAGAGATTTGACAAGCTTACAGACCATGCCAGGATGTCCTTTCGTGTAACCAGGAGGCCGCTCCATATATATGGTTTTCTTCAGATCTCCATGAAGAAACACATTCTTCACATCCAACTGAATTAACTCACATCCCTTCAAGGCAGCAACACAAAAAACACTCAGAACAGCCTGCATTTACCACTGGCACAAAAGTTTCTTCATAGTCAAATCTCATATTCTTGCCGAAAACCTTGAGCTACAACTCTCGCCTTAAATCGCTCAATTGTGCCATCTTAAAGCTCCTTAATCGTGTAGACCCAACGGTTTCCGATCACCAGTATCTCAGGTTCACGAAGAACCAAATCCCACATATGATTTTTATTAAGGGCACCTAATTCTTCCTGCATTGCGCGATTCCAATGTGGGTCTTCCTTTGCCTCCACATAACACTTGGGCATAAAAATAGGGGAGGCAGAATACCCCACATAATCCAGCATCCTGGGAGGAGGCTAGCCTCGTGTGGCTTGCAAGGAACGGCGAAGAGGAGGAGCATCCAGACTGGGAGACAGGGAGACCATGTCGTCGAGCTGAAGAGAGCTACCACCCGCTGAGCGAGAAGAACCGGTGTTGGAACCAGAACTACCACTTGAAGTACTGGAGCTTCGTTAGCTTGGAGAGGAAGATGACATGGAGTTCATCGATGAGGAGGAAGGGCTCGACATCATACTCTCTTCATCAGAAGTCACACTCGTATGCTGAGCTTGAGGAACAGCAGCTTCAAAGAAGGGCGATTGGGTGAGAAAATCCAAGGATTTATCAGTAGGAAGCTCATTACTAACAGTAGAATGATAAATCACCTGCTCTAAGAAGACGACATGACAGGATATGCGCATGCGATGCTCGACCGAGTCATAGCACAAATAGCCTTTGTGCTTCGCTCTATATCCAAAAAAACGCAACGAGCTATCTTTAGAGCCAGCTTGTGACGTTCCTTGCGTGGTAACAACACAAAGCAGACATAACCAAAGACCCAAAGCGTAGAATAATCTGGTGGTTTACCCAGCAACTTCTGATATGGCGAGAGCTGTTCTAACATAGACTAATTTGTCGATTTATTAAATACACTGTTGTGTGAACAAATTCGACCCAAAAACGATTTGGTACCTGTGAATGAAACAAAAGAGCTCGGGTTAACTCTAAGACATGACGATTCTTTCATTCTACCAGACCGTTCTGCTGAGAGACGCCCGGACATGATTCATGTGGAAGAATCACTAATTACTTATAGAAGACCACCAACTCATTCGACGTAAACTCGCCACCACGATCAGAACAGAGAACCTTAATGGTCTTATTAAACTGTGTTTTGACCATCTGAACGAACTCCTTCGCAAAACCTGCCAACTTAGATTTCTGCTTTCGAAAATACACCCAAGAATATCTGGTAGCATGATCAATAAATATTACAAAGCACCGATATCCCAACCGAGATCTAACTAGCGAGGGACCTCATAGATTGGTATGAACTAAATCAAATGGATGCTCATAAACCGTAGTACTAGATGAGAACAAAATCTGAGAAGTTTTCACCTCAATGCAACTACAAAAAGATAATGAGACACAAAAGCAAGATCAAATTTATCAAGCAACATATCTTGCCGAAACATAGTCATTAAGCGAGCCGAATGGGGATGGCCTAACCGACTATGCCACAAATCCCAAGTTGATGCTTTAATAAAAAAATCCAAAGGTTTGTCAACAGAGAAACCCAAAAAACCAGAGGACAAGCTATCCATACAAAAGTTTTGCAAGCTATCACTACTCAAATCCCCAAGATAAACTTATCCTCCACGCTTTATGTTGTTCAATTTCGAAATCCATCTATTCCTTTGTGTCAGCTGCCTCCACGGCGCGCGGTGCTTGGTTGATCTTAGAAAAACTCTACGCTAGCAATGCCCAGTCTCGGGTTATTTATCTCAAGAACAAACTCGCCAAAACATTCAAGGGCGTTCAAGATATCCTGGCCTTTGTGAACGATCTGAAGGGCACGGCGGCTGAACTTGCTCTTATTGGCGATCCAGTATCCGACATTGATTTAATTGTTTACTGTCTTCGTGGCTTATGCGAAGAATATGGTGCTTTTGCTGCGGCCATTCGTGCACGAGGCCCGGGTCTTGTACTGGAAGATTTGGTGGACTCCTTGGTTGAATATGAATCGGATCTTAAAGCTCATGTCAAGACCTTTGTTCCCACTGTGGTCTTCTCTCAGGGGCAGAGACACGGCGGCGATGGCAACTCTTCGTTTGGCCGACAGCCGTGCCGCGCGTCCTCTCCTAGGGCTCCCTCTCAGTCGGCCGAGGCTTATTTTTCCAGGCCCCCAGGCCCATTCCCCAGCCCGTGACATTATTTCCTTTGGGCCGCCCTCAGCTTCCTCACCCAACCAGCGCTGGCCCACTGTTGTGTGTCAATTTTGTGACCGTCCTAGTCATCCTCAAGCCCGTCAGGCATATCAAGCTAGTCAGACTCAGGCACATCATACCATCGCTACTCGAGCTTCTCCATCAACCCATTGTTTGCTTGATTCTGCTGCGTCACATCATGTCACTCCTGCTATCAAGCGCAAACTTATCTCTGTGGCCAAACTCTGTCGTACTAATCCCATTTCGGTGGAATTTTTTGCTGATTGTTTTGTTGTGAATGATCTTCGCACGGGGGCGCCACTGCTGAAAGGGACAAATAATGGTGATGTATACAAGCTGCCTAATGATGTGGATATTGTCCGGCTTGCTATTGTCACCACTCGCACTTCCTCTGCATCGTGGCATGCTCGTCTTGGTCATCCCTCTCATTCCTCTCGAGCCTCCTTCGCCAACATTCATTACCAGTATCTTCCTCTCCTGTCAGTAGTCATTGTCATTCGTGTCTCTCCAAGTCATAAACTCCCGTTTGTTGTCTCGTCTTTATCCAGCACTAGACCATTTGATTTATTATATGTGGATGTTTGGGGGCCTTCTTCGGTCACTTCCATTGATGGTTTTCGTTATTATTTAATAATCGTTGATCATTTTTCTCGCTATACCTGGTACTATCCCTTAAAATAAAAATATGATGTTCTTGATGTGTTTCTTGCTTTTCAAACGATGGTTGAAAATTAATTTTCCACCATCATTCGTCGCCTTTACTCTGATGGTGGTGGGGAATTCCAGAAACTATGTTCCTCACTCATTACTCATGGGATTACTCATCTCCTCACCCCTCCTCATACGCGTAAGCATAATGGTCTCGCTGAGAGAAAACATTGTCATCTGGTTGAAACGGGTATCACTCTCCTGCATCATGCTAATTTACCTACCCTCTCTTGGTCTTATGCTTTCTCTACTGCCACCTACTTAATTAATCGCATGCCCTCCTCTGCGTTACGTGGTCAAATCCCATATATTGTCCTCTTCAACATTTGTCCCAACTATCATAAACTCCGCATATTTGGCTGCCTTTGTTATCCTTGGTTGCGTCCCTACTCCTCCCATAAACTTGATCCACGTTCTCGTCCATGTTTGTTTCTTGGTTACTGTCCTCAGCGAAGTGCGTATAGGTGTTTTGA